TGATTGCAGAGTGAGCATAACCTTCAATTGATTATCTTAAAAAAACATTTATATTAAGTAAAAGTCTAAAAGATATACCATGTGACCCTAGATTTAGAAGTTCAAGTAATTGCTGCATTACTTCACTTTAGGCCACTGTAAAATGAAATATGTTTTGCAGGTACATAGTGTTCTTTCTTTGCAAAGAATCATTACTAATGTGCTTTTCTTTACCATTTACAGGTACAATGTCTTGATGAATGTGAAGAAGTGGTGGAAAGTGATCTTCTTTCATATGATCGACATAAGTGTGGTGAACAGCTTCATAATGTTTCAGGCCTTCCGTGGCCAGCATCCTGATGTTGCCTCTTTGCAGAGGAACAAAGGTAGATGTAAATATCAAATATACAAAATTAAAGTATTCTACAGGGATCTCCCAAGATGAATTGTTGTTACATGTGCTAGAATAAAGTATAAATCATCATTTTTATAATGCAGGGAAGTTAATATCAAAATGTTTAGTTATCCCATCGAACGAAGTTCGGAGGGATATAGGGAACGCCGCCGTCCGTCCGTCCGTCCGTCTGTACGTACGTCCGTCCGTCTGTCTGTCCGTCCGTCCGTCCGTCCGGGCAATAACTCAAATACCGTTGGCCCGATTTTGTTCATATTTTGTACACATATACCCTATGGGAGTAGAAGTTCTGCTCTAAAGCCGATTTTCAAAATGGCCGCTCATTTCAAAATGGCAGCCATTTTAGTGCCGATTTTACAGTAATTTAGGTGTAATATGTAAAACTGTAATAGCAATATGTTTTAAATGTAAAAAAATTATAAAGGACGTTAATAATGCTACAAATGTAGATAAAAGAAACACATGGCAGCCATCTTGAAAAATGGCGGCCTTTACTCGTCATTTTACGATTTTTGCTGTAACTCAAAAAATAGTGGAGCGATTTTGTTCATATTTGGTATGTGAATACTATAAGCATTGCACACTGTCTAAAGACACTTTTGGTAGAAGGCGGCCATTTTGAAAAATGGCCGCCATTTTAACGTATTTTACTATAACTCGAAAAGTAGTGGAGCGATTTTGTTCATATTTGGTATGTGAATACTATAAGCATGGCACACTGTCCTATGACACTTTGGGTAGAAGGTGGCCATTTTGAAAATAAAATTGAAAAATGGCCGCCATTTTAACGTATTTTACTATAACTCGAAAAGTAGTAGAGCGATTTTGTTCATATTTGGTATGTGAATACTAGAAGCATGGCACACTGTCCTATGACACTTTTGGTAAAAGGCGGCCATTTTGAAAAACATTTTGAAAAATGGCCGCCATTTAAACGTATTTTACTATAACTCGAAAAGTAGTGGAGCGATTTTGTTCGTATTTGGTATGTGAATACTAGAAGTATGGCACACTGTCCTATGACACTTTGGGAAGAAGGCGGCCATTTTGAAAAAAAATTGAAAAATGGCTGCCATTTTAACATATTTAACTATAACTCGAAAAGTAGTGGAGCGATTTTGTTCATATTTGGTATGTGAATACTTTAAGCATGGCACATTGTCTAATAAAACTTTGGGGAGTAGTAGGCCATTTTGAAAAATGGCCACCATTTTTATGTGTGTTATTTTACAAGTATGTGTGCGATTTTTCAAAAATTTTAGAGGTGGCTCTTTCTTCTGATGACAACTTGGCTAGTGAGCAACCATTTTGAAAATGGTGGCCTTTCTGGTGTGTTGTTTATGATATTTGCTATTCGTTTGTAAAAATGCCAGCCATTTCTGTTCGATGGGATTCGCTACGCTTTGGCGTTGCCGTTGTTCTGGTTTTAATTTTTAAATTTTTGAAAAGAGTGGTAAGCAGGGTGGGAATGTTCAACAGGATGGGTGCAGGGTACTAGCATTGAGTGAGCAGAGTGTGGTACCATACAGTTAGGCCCTGGGGTGATCACTGTGGAGCTAACTAACTATACATTTTACAATAACACTATACAATTACTATCTGTACTTAATATTTTTGGAAATTAATGATCGAAGTAATAACTCCTTGGTGTAAATTATAATAGTTAAATGTTAGCTTATTCATTTGGATTATCTTTACTTCATGTTTGAAGGGTCTCTGTTTCCAGATTGTCATAATTATTTTGTTATTCATCAAGTATTGTGCATTTTTTCAAAATATATATGTACTAGACTACATTGTTTATGAGCACTGTTTGTAAACTTGTTTTGTAGATTACAGTCAGCTGGAATTCCGTGAGGAGTTGGTAAAGCAACTTGGTGGCATTGCTGATTTTGAACCTGTACCGTTGGCCAAGAATTTTCCAGCCACTCCAAACTTTGCAACGGAACATATCCCACAGCATCACAACCTCCGTCGTAATTGCACTGTGTGCTATAAAGTGACAGGCATGGAAAAGAAGACGAACTGGGAATGCTCAAGTGACAATTGTGTTGGAAAGAGATTCTGTCTAGTTGCAGAGAGGAACTGTTTTCAACGCTGGCATTCTGCCGAATTCAATAACAATAGATAAGGATCACTGACTGCCCAGCATACAGTACATGTAGAGCACATCTATACAGTTATCAGGTTATACTGTAATGAGTGGTATGTGTAGTCCACAGGAATAATAATAAAGTTGATGGATGTTACCTTATATGACTTGCAGTTGCATTACTTATTCATCGATACTTAAAGTTGAAATCGAGTGATTTTGGCTATTTTTCATCAATTTTACCCTAAATCAGGTAAAAACAGGCATCTTTGTGATATTCTCATTCATTTAATCTTACCCCATATGCATAATACTATGTATTTTCTGAAAGCTTACTTCCTATACTTTAAAACTATGTTAGAATATGTGTGTACCAATCAACAGTACTCGCCTGACAGGTGGTTAAAGGTAAAAGTAAGTGCTTTTTTAACAAGAAAATAATGGCGGCCATCTTGAATTATGACGTCATAGACCATGTGACCTCATTTGCATATTTTATTTTTCAAACTAAAATCATTCCAGGACATCATAGCTTTAAAATGATGTATCATACATGAGGCAAAACATATTATTGTTTGTTATAGAAAATGAGCAATTAAGATTTTATGCAAATATTCAATATTTCTTTAAAACCCCATAGTAAGGAATGAGTTAACAGGGTAACTTCAACAGATTTCACAGAGGGACCGATTTTTAAACAAAGTGCCCTCAATTTGCAGGATTTTGCGGGACATAAACCTAAATTTGCGTTATGTTGCGGGACATTCAAGGGATTTGCGTGATTGGGACTTAACGTAAATGTACTCAAATCAAACTTTCAGATACTGATTCATCAAATATAATGTACTTAACTTAAATAAACATCAACACAATTTCTCACAATACGCATAGGAGTATTATTAAGTCAGGTTACTTTTCAAGATATCAGCATCCATTTATTATCCATTTATTTTCTAACATTTGCTCAGTTCTGAGATTAAGTCCACATGCGTAGTAAAGAGGCCAATGTTAGAACTATTAGTGACCTACATCCCTATTTTTGTAATTAAAATGAAAGTTGAACTCTTCCTCTTTATTTTGGTACCAAATAACTGCATATGCTAGGTACTTGAGAAGCCAACTATGGCTGTTAAAATGAGGTAGTCTAAATTTTACTCCTCAAAAGTGCAAAAAAACTAAGCTTCTTATATCACAAGATAATCACAATATAGGGTATTGCAATAATTTTGGAAATTTGCGGAGGTCATATAGCCGACATTTGCGTGACTTCGCACTGCGGGACACCAAATTATCCTAATTTTGATCAAATTCATGGGATAATCTTGCCATTTGCGGGAAACTTGACAGCTCTGTTGAAGTTTCAATAAAGAAACCATAGATCTTTAAAATTTGTTCTTCCGACAATGCCTGTGTCCGAGATTACCCCTCGGTTTTCTAGTCATATATCACGATGGTGTAGCGTCATACACACACAAAATGCCATGGCGTGATTTAGACAAAAGTTGATTTTTATATTGAATTGCACCACTCAAGAAAACTGGTTATTCTGAAAAAATGGTCTGTGATTTTCATTTTATAAATATTAGATGATATTAGTCGGAATTTTGTAATTTAAGATACATCAGGACGTTTCAAATCTAATCTCATTATCAAATTATCTTGGGGGGAGGGGTTTCCCACCACTTTCAAACCTCTTTCGCTTCACTCACTTGTGGTGTACACTCACAAAATACCTTTGCTATTGCCACTGTATCATATAGTACTTATGGTATAGTGATACTCTAAGGCTAGTGTTATACGGACCTCTGCCAGATTCCTCTTATACTATTGGTCTCAAGGTTCAATGAATATACTAAAAGACAAGAAGCCATAGGTCTATAAAACAAAGAATTATTGAAGATGACGTCCGACAATTTCTTCTTCCGACAATGCTTCAGGAAAAACATCTTCAGGAAACTTTAATTTCCTTGATTCTGGAGTCAGTTTATCAATAAATATAACATGTCATACCTCAAATGATACGTTCTGTTGTCAGCTGTATCTCCAATCACTTAAATCATGCATATATGTAAGTGTCTGTTGATAAAAGCATAAAATAGCTGAGCGTTAAGATAATGTCTGGTTTCTGCAAATTCCGGTGATCATGACGTCTATTCTGGATATCATATGTCTATTCTGAGAATGTGACCCCACTCCAGATGATGTCACACCATAGATTACCAAGAAACACCATGACATTTCTTGAAATCTTGTAGAAACAATAACCACGGTTTGTTTAGGCTATGTGATCATTTGCTTTCATTGGCTGTTTGTTGTGATGTGACGTAAAATGATTTTTCCGATCTCTGGGCTGTCTTATTTTCCCCACTTTCTCTCTTATATGTACCCCCTAAAAAATATGACCCACAAGTTTATATTAAGTATTATATTTACTGTCCCTATCTATTTTCTCAACAACACATTCTGCATTCCATAAGCAAATAAAACTAAATATTTCTCAATGTTTATTTTCAGGAGTTATGATACAATTTTGATACACCTTTGGAAAGCAGCTCTACAAAAGACAATATGACCGTGCAGTGTAACTTACAAAGCCTAGAAAATTTGCTGAGGTAAACATCAGTACCGTAACTTTGTACTTTGTACTCAGGTGGTTATAACTGTATTTATTCTTATTTGATGGATTTGAAAATGAAAATGCTTCCAATATCCCAAGGAATGAAGGTAAATTATTAAATCTCATAGTTACATTACAGATTACTAGAGAAAATTACTTTGTGTCTGTTGTATTCTGTTTTATTGTAATCTAAATGTGCATAATATATTGTAATCTAAATGTGTATAATAACCTTCTATTTTAGAGAATCTGCCAGTGTGAAACAAGTTCAAGATTTCATTCAACAGATAATTGTTCCATCTGCTAAACAAAATGCCGAACAAAACATTGTTAATGATGAACTGTTCCTTCAAACCTTCAACATATTTATTAACTATGAAGGTGATGTAAAGATCAGAAAGCAACTTGAAAAGGTATGTACATGTACCATATGTACACAAATTCACTTGTATCTGAGACTTGAAGATGGTCTGTTGTTGTACGGTAAAACTTTAGTCTTGCTTCACTAAACCTAAGCCTGTTTTAGCCATTTTATGCTAATTTATTTTGCAGAAATGTATACTTGGATGTAACTTTATATAATTTTAGCTGCTTTTGTCTTTTGAGACGATATACAAGACCAGTGTCTATAGTAGTTACAGTGAAATATGGCATAATGTCTCCATTGGAAAGCTGACTACTCCCCAACTTGGCAAATGTAAGTGATTTTATTATCTCTTAATTCTTACATATTATTCTATTATTAATTCAGTCACATAAATCAGTCACAACAATGTACTCTATAACTTCGATTTTTCCAGTTTTCTTCAAGTTGAGACAATGAACTGTAACAGTGACAAACACAATATCACACGTTGCTACTATCTCCAGGTGTGTGGCTACAACAATCATATCTTGTATATAATGTTTATTCCAGTAATGATCCACTTAGATCAGAGCCCAGCGTGTAGAGAAGGCCTAAGGCACAATCTACACCTAGCCATGGCATACCTTGCTAGTAGACTTCAGGGCTTTCTCCAGTATACACCACAAGAAAGAATAAACTTTGAGTCACATGTCCTTATTAAGGTAAGATTTGAAACACCTAGAATGCCTTAAACTAGTACAATCATGGGCTTTCAACATATTCTCTTGAAAACCCATGGTACAATTCAAAGATTTAAAAATTAGTTTACGTGTTATTGAAAATGTTTTAATGAATGCAACTCCCGATCTCCATATTTATACTTGAAGACAATGCTGCAAATCTGCCGGCTTTTCTCTACTGAATTCTTACCAACCTTAGATGGAGGAACAGGGGTCAGTTCCACAAAAGATGAACCAGGGGTCAGTTCCACAAAAGTTGAACCAGGGGTCAGTTACACAAAAGATGAACCAGGGGTCAGTTCCACAAAAGATGAACCAGGGGTCAGTTCCACAAAAGTTGAACCAGGAGACAGTTCATCAAATACAGCGACAGGGACAATTACCGAACAGTTTCTAAGCTGTCTCCTCCAGGTGTTAGATAATTCCCTGGTATTATATGATGATAAAATCTTAGCAGCAACTGGGCTTGTGTACTACATGAATAGCTTAGACGATGCGACTTTGGCTACTAATGTGTTAGCAACGTTGATAGAAAAATTAGGTAATTTTTGTTTCTCGAGTTGATTCAAGCGGAATATGCCCTGAATAGCGCCCAATGTTACAAGGCCATGTTTGGATTTGCCTTTGTCTATTAGTAAAGTGAAATGCACCCTATATATTAGAAGTGCCCAGGATAAATTTCTCTGTTTTAAAAATTATTTATCTCACCCGTATTGCATGTGATAAAAATAACTCTTGTTTTAGGAAGTTGGATCTCTTGTGACATCAGGTGTCTGTTGAACCCATCTCATGGAGGCCCTTTAATCAACTCTTTTGAAAATAGCCCAAAGGAATCAAGCAATAAGAATTTCCAAACAAACAATCGTGTAGCTATTTCCACAGGACAATTAGCTCTAATAGGTGGCATCCTAGCATCAGGCTTTGAAGGAATCCTAACTGAAAATTCAAAACCCGTTGGCATAGTAACAGTAGGGACTCATCATATTGCTTATAAAGCAGGGACTGCTCAATCTGCTGGAAGTCAAAATGGAACAATTTTTTTCAAGTTTTTATTCAAGAAGTTGTACAGCTCAGCGAATGGAGAACATCAGTATGTCACATTCCAACTTCTTGCTCAATGGACAAGAAGGGCGACAAAACTTGCACAAAATTATGACCACATAAGGATTTTATTCTCCAACAACTCTGAAATCTTACCTCAAATATTTGATCTGGTTTTATCAAATTTGGATAACCCAACAGATGGAGTTGAGACGATTATCGATAGTATATTTGCACAATCTGTTGAGTCACATGTTAAAACAGTGCTACATGATAAAAGAGTGCCTCATATTGAGACAAACCACAAACTTAGTGAGGAATTAGGAAAAAATAAACCAATATTGACTACTGCAGTTGAAATGCCTCATGATGTAATATTAACTGAATCAGATGACATTAAATGCCAAAATGGAAACATTGATTTCAAAATGGAAGGCACAAAAGATGATCTAACCTCAGAGAACAGTGAAGTTCATCCAACAGCATTTTCTTCTATGAACTCCCAAAATAAGCCATTACTAGAGACAACAATTAGCAGGATTTTAGCTCTTCCAGTATATTCCAGAGGAAGGTATAGGCTTCTAGCTGTTATAGTGAAACACACAGATCTAAAAAAGGTAATATATACCAAATATTCCATTCTATTGAGGTGAATACATGTTCATCGAAAATTATTATATCATTTAAATGTTCTACAAATTAAGTGTATTTCTTTTAACCATTTAATGCATAGATACAATACATGTGCTCATCAGAATAACCACTCTAACTACAGCCAGTCTTAGATGCAAGATATTGCCATCTTTCATCCTCAAAAGTCACACGTGCAAGATGACTTGTGACATCACTCGTTTATAAACATCAAGAACATGGCAACGGATGCACAATTGCTATGAGTACCCATGCTCATACTACAAATATAAGCTGTGATGTCTTAACAATGAAGTTTTGTTGCCGTGCATATCCAAGTATTTTCTGCAATATTGTTGTGCTGTCATGACAAAAACATAACATCCGGGACTTTCTACGGTGGTATATACTCCGTGGTATATACATTGTGGTATATACAGTTGAAAACGAGGCTGCGGCTGGAGACTGCAGGAAACAATGAAATACACCCTAATATTTTTAATCATGTGATCGGTTCTTATCCAATGAGAAAACGACAATGATATAATAAAAGATATTATTTGCTAATAAAAATTATGTTTTTGCCATGCGAAAATTGAGAAAATTATTGGAATTTATTGTACAGTATAGCCTAGTTGGTAGAACTTGGGTGACATTTGGGCACTGTTAATAATAAGGCAAGTTTGCTGATCTTTGACATTGGCAACTATTTAACTATGCAGAGTACACTGCATTTTAATTTTTGTTAATTCCAGTGGTTAATTCCAGGTTCTCCCAAGTACAGAGATAAAGGTCCTCCTGGACCAAATGGTCCTGTGCATGTCGGATGACTACATGGTCCCTAAAGTCACTGAGCTGTTCAAGGCACTCCTCAATACCATGGCTAAAAGGTACTAATAATATTCAATGATAATTAAAATGATTAAAGTGATTTGTAAATTGAAACGATTGATTCAAAGCTAGTTCTGTAACTTAAAGTTATAGCAAAAAATCATTCCTAACTTATGTTTATGGGAATATAAAATGTTCACTTCACGGTCAAGGTTGAATGCATGTGATTACTGAATTTATCACATTTACATTCTGTCCAATTCTAAGATTGAACGCAAGATCTGTTTTCATTTTAGGAATCAGTATGTAGAGTGGCACACATTGTGGTTTTCGAGACTAACTAAGGCTCTATGTTCAACTGACCAGTAAGTTGATTGTTTTAACACTTCAATGTTATTTTTCAAGCAATGCTTATCCCCATATTTAAAACCAGCTATAATTAGATATAATGGGAAATATATATACAGTATACAGTAATTTTTTATATTATATCAAATTTTACCTGATTTGGTCCAAGACATACATAAATTTTGAACTTTTACGAGGGTGCGCTGTTCAGCCAGTAGTTTGGTGGTCAATCTTAAAATTTTGCACCCACTTGTGAAAATGATCTTGTGGAGGTTTTTACATATAATATTAAATTGCTGTTTTTAATTACTTAAATTGTAGAAGTAAGCAGTTTAGTGTGATTACACACTGGATTCCCCAGGCCATGAAGGTGTTTCCTAGGGTACTAGCTGATCTCCTAGGCAACCTAGAGGACTCGTTGCTAGGAGATACAATGTCCAGAGATGTTGTCCTGTTGGGGCTTTTGACGTTGCTAGCAGAATCAACCAGTAAAGGGATCACTGTGGTAGGTTCTTAAAAATTGCTTATTTGACACTTTGAAAAGTGCTATATTGTCATTTTTTGCTACTGGCAGGCACAACATAAATCTTGTCTTTAAAATTCCTGGAAATCTGTTTGACTTGACATTTTGACAGATGCAATAGCATTATAGCAGACTGTGCCAAGGTTTTGGGCATGCTTGCTTGGTAAATTACGCAGGTGGCCATTTTGCTTTTCAAAGTGAAATATTTATCCCTGAGCAGTATAATCTTGTTTCCGGGAATATTAACTCTACTATACCTTGCATGGTGTTCATGAGCAACCCATTTGGCTTATCAGTAATGATTATGTTGTTTGTTTTTATGTGTCTGCTACTTATGAATGGTTTATTGGATGACTGTTAGATGTTAATAAGGTACTTTCAAAAATATACTAAACAATACAATTAGACAAACAGAATGTCTTATGCATTTCTAGGGGTTAGGTATAGTAGAGTGATATTGTCTAAGAACTCCTTTTTCCTAAAAAACAATCTGTACATTTTACCAGAGACATATGAAACATTTACTTTATGGTTACAGTCATTGCATATTTTGGGCAAAATGATTCAATTCTTGAACTAATTAAAATATTGGATGATTTAGTTTAACCTGAGGGATGATAGGATGATAGTGACAGAAGGGGAAAAATATCTTATCTAATTTCTCAAAGAAATCACCACTGGCTCTTGTATACTTTCATATTCAATCCAATGACAGGGGCATATTCGTTATAGTTACAGTCTATAATTCTGTTTTGCACAATGTATAGCTCTGACATAACCACTTTTAGGAGTACACCAGGGAGGTATGTATATGTATTGTATATGTATTACAAGTCAGATGGCATCTGAGCCAAGGCATTCAGCTTCCTGTGTTATATATGTAAATAGCCCATTTAGCCCATGATTCTGATTTACATTGTTTGAAGATGACATAATCGATTTCAGGAGTACACCAGGGAGGTGTTGCTTGAAGGCTTGTATTCCAAGTCAGATGACATCAGAGCCAAGGCGTTCAGCTTGCTGTGTGTTACACATAAGACAACAGGTAATGAGAATGAGAATTTCTTAGTCCATTGTTATCTTACTATGATATCATTGTAATCATGGTTACAATGACTGATCCAATAGATTTATGAATCACAATTATTTTGGAAGGCCTCGAGTAATGACCACCAGATTATTTATTTCATTTCAGAGGCCTTTACAAGTGAAGACCTGGACCTACTGAGACATTGTATTCCCCTTAACATGTCCTCAGATTCACCTTCCTTCAGAAATACCTTTCTGTTCTGCCTCAAACATGCACTTGTTAGAATAAGGGACAGTAGTCTAAGGGGCCTTGGAGACCCCTCAGCACAATCACAAATCTCCAATATGGAGTTCATCCACTGGTATATCAGAACAATGGCAGAGAATCTATACCCAGGGTTTAGTTATCAGAGATTAAAGATGGCGCTGGAAGGACTACAGTTATTCTATGATAATTTCATCCAAACATTGGGAAATAATCAACGGAAAGGGCTTGTCCCTGATGGCACAAAAACGCTTATTGAGATGGCCAATAGAGATAATGCAGACTTTTGGGGCATGTTTTCTGAGAGAACAACCAATGCATTGTGGAATTGTCTCCAGAATGGTACAAATGAAATCCGAGAAATATCTTGTCAAATTTTCCTCAAATATTTCCATTGGCCGATCAGATTGCTTGGAAGCTCTGAAAAAGAAACTGCAAGATATATTCTAACTAGGGGCCTAAGCCTTTGCCAGAGTGTAAAACCAGCTGAGTGTGAAAGTGGTGCAATCTTATGTAAGCTAGTCTTCATGAAATATTCCCTCAGTCTCAAATGGAGTATAGACTTTGGACTAATAGGGACAAATTACAACGTGGCAGTGAATGTCAAGAATTTGAAGGATTCCAGTTCATGTGCAGTCAATTTTTTGAGTGAATTGCAAAACTTTCTCAGAGCTTCCATCAAACTTTCAGAGAAGAACCCATATGAGGCTGCAATCCGGTCACCCTCGCATGGCTTATTGTCAGCATTGACACAATGTTTAGGATCACTGCCAAAAGATGTCACTCCATACTTGGCTATCTGCCAGGATCTCGCAGCAGACGTCTCATCACTCATTGACCTCATGATGATGATTATGGCGGGAAAATGTACTAGAAAATCAGTAGCGCCATCTTTTGAGGAAATGTGTCTCTCAATCAAGGAAATGATTGAAACAAATGATAATACTTCAGAAGATAATATCATATTAGACCCCAAGTATCAAACTTGTGTTTCGTGGTGTTGGCAGAATCTAAAAGAGGGCGCTCTCTTGTTGGGGAAGATATCTGGCATTCTGGTTGGATATTGTGGAAACAACGATGGTGTTTCTGCTACTGTGATGAATATTGGAGAGGTGCTCTTACAGGTAGGTTATGATGGTCCATGTAAAAAGTACATTATGGATGTCAGCTCAGCTTTGTTAGCAGGCATATATAGGTTGGGCAGGCATTTCCATTCAAAGCATTTTGCTTTTTGACATAGTTTTACATTTTAAAGTCTTCAAAGTGGTGATATTTATTAATAGTTTTTAAAAAATCATATATTTCAGATTTTGACCCAGTGCCGCCACTGGGGGGCAATAATGGCTGCCAACAGTGCCTTTATAGTTCATTCAACAGAACTCATCAAATCTCACAAACAACTAAATACCATACCAGGAAAAATTCTACAAAACACTATCGCGTCGCTTGAATCAAACAGCGCTTTATCCTCAATAACGCGCAGATCTGCAGGATTTCCACTGCTTGTCACAAGCATTCTCCTGGCAGAACTCCAGTGTAAAAGATCTGAGCTTTTTAAACTGACTATCAACGCTCTCATGGGGCTCATCAAACAGACAATAGATGGCGATGTTGACGAATTACATGACGTGCCTGTTGTACATGGATTAAACGTGATGAAAGCGATTGTGCAGGATAGCCGATTGGTGGGGATAGCACAGGGTCACCTGGGGGACGTTGCTGTGGAATGTATTTCCAAGTTTGCCTCTCCCTATTGGGCAATAAGGAATGCTGCGATGCAGTTGTATGGTGAGTTTTGGTGAGCTGTATTGTAATGTAGTTTAATTTTCAATTTTCAAACCTATACACATAGTATTTTAATATCATAAATGCTCAGCAGTTATCCTTCTTAATCAATATTTTCCTTTTAGGTGGAATAGAGCCAAGGTTACTTGGACAAAACAAGAGTAAACTTGTTGATCGCGGTAATATCAACATTACTGAGTTCTTAAATCACTTCCCGAGCCTGTCTCATCACATCAAGAAATATCTCATAGAATCAGGGAGGAATTTACGCCGATTGCATCCTAGTTTGTTTCCTGTCATTAGCCTTGTGTCTAACCTAGGTCCATGTGGTACAACATCAAATAGGTACATCTTAGAATATTATATACTCATAAGGTACATGGTATTAGGAGCCATTTGCTTGCCAAAAAGATAAAGTGAATTTTTTATGATCTGTTTGCACTTATCATCTGCATTAATATATTTGAAGAAAAATATAGTTAAATGTTCTCAATGTCACCACCACAAGTGGTAACATATTGTTATAGTCTCCAACTTATTTGTGGACATCGTTTATTTGTTTGTTTTTGTGTTTTTGCAGTGATATTGATTCATTGGTTGAACCTGTGACATCTTTGGCCTACCATTCTATCTACAATGTACGTGTCATGGCTGCCAAAGCACTTCCTGTTGTTGTACCAGATCCCCGGCAGCCAATCAAATTAGAGCAAATAATTAAGTCCTTACCTACTGAAAGGTCTGAATGCAACAGTTTTAACACTATACATGGAAAGTTGCTCCAAATACAGTACTTATTGAAGGAAATAACTCGAAGGTACTTAATTCCATCCTAATCAAAAGTTCTCATATGATCTCAAAGCAGTCATTGAAGAATATTGATAAGTTGCTGAGAAACATGCCAATGTTACTGCTATCTACAAAAAGGGACGCAGAGATTAGGCTGTGAATTACAGGCCTGTTTCTCTGACGTCAGTTTCAAGTAAAATAATGGAACATATTATATTCCATCACGTTATCTAGTAAACTTCCAACATGGATTCAGGTCAAAGCACTCATGTGAAACTCAACTTGTCAATACAATAGAGAATATAGCTAGGGCCCTCGACAACAATAATAAACAAACAGACATGTTGGCATCAGACTTTTCCAAAGCGTTTGACACGGTGGCTCACGAACGCCTCTTGCTCAAACTCGACTATTACGGAATTCGCAATAATATCAGATCCTGGCTTGTGGGAAGATCACAACAGGTAGTTGATGGTGAATCAAGTTCAAAAACTCCAGTAAAATCAGGAGTTCCTCAAGGAACAGTTCTTGGACCACCCTGTTTCCTTGTTTATATCAATGATATGGGCAATAACCTATCATCCTCAGCCAGCCTTAAACTATTTGCTGACGACAGCCTTTTATTCATGACAGTCGAAAGCAAGCAAGATGCATTAACAATACAGGAGAATCTAGATAAACTGGTCTCCTGGGCATCAACATGGCAAATGAAATTCCATCCATCAAAATGCTATGTGCTTAATATTCACAAAGGTAAATCCCCTATCATTCACAATTACACCATGCTAGGGGAAAACCTTAAGTCGGTAACACACTTCCCATACCTAGGTATTGACATCACAAACAACTTACGCTGGACTACACATATTCAAACTATTGTATCCAAAGCCAATAAGGTGCTTGGATTTCTCAGGCGCAACCTCCATCAATGCCCTGAAAAAGTGAAGGCTCAGGCGTATAAGTCACTTGTCCGGCCTAATTTAGAGTATGCCAGTTCGGCATGGGATCCATACCGACAAAAAGATATTGATATGTTGGAACAGGTACAGAGAAGAGCAGCCAGGTTTGTAACCAAATGTCATTCAAGGGAACCAGGCTGCGTCACCAAAGCTCTTCAAGACCTACAGTGGGAGCCACTGAAGGAGTGTCGAGAGGCTTCTAGAGTTTTCCTTTTCTACAAAGGAAAGCAAAACCTAGCAGCCATCGACATGCCTCCATACTTCCGCCAACAGATCAATACCAACACTAGGCTGTATCATCCTTCTAAGTTCATACAACTATCAACTAGAACGGATGCATACAAATTTAGCTATTTCCCTAGGACAATAGCTAAATGGAACACTCTACCTGGTGACATCTTAGACTGTGACAGTCTAAGTAGTTTTAAATCATCATACTATGCCTATGTCAATAACTGCAATTAAATAGGTGTGTTTTTAATATAGATCTATGTTTTAATGTAAAAGGTCCCAAGTGCACAGCAACAAGCCTGCACTACTGGTAAAGAGGGGTGATGTCAACGCGGTAGCCTGACAGTCATCCCAGGGTATTTCAAAATAAAGGGACTTCCTAGGGGGGTACAGGGGCCAACCAGGAAAGTTCCTTTCAATTTTAATGAGTTGCAAACCATAGATCTATTTTTAAATGTTAAGGTTTTAAATTATATTCTATTCAAATTCTATCACTGTTAAACTATATATTATCTGCTTTATATGGGCTTATTAGCCTTTTGCAGATTATCGACATAGACATAGACATAGACAAAGAAAATGTAGACTACTTGTAATAAGTAATGTACATTGATTCACTATAGTCAATGGACAGGCATGTTAAAATAGATACAGTATTAACATTTATTACTTATTAAACTTTGAGAAGGAAAATTCTAAATCTCTGTGTTTCCTTAAATGAGGTATGAACTTTCGATTTTACTTTGAAAATAGGTATTGCACAAAAAGATACAGTATCATACAACTCATACTATGAGACAAAACTGTACTAGATACTTAAAATCTTTTATTTACATTTTCAGAAATATTGACTCTGTAGTTGGTAGAACATGTGGTGAGATGCTCATTCGTTTCATCTGGTTGGCAGGCCCCACCAACCCTTGTTCAGTTGTCAGAGCCCTCTTTTGGCAGATTCTACAAACATGCAAGCTACAATTGAATCTGAAAGAATTAAATGAAATGATGCAATGCAGTGGCACGGAGGTAATTACTCTATGACTACAGATGAAAATTATCCAATTATACAATATAATAAGATTGGCAGGTGGTTTTGTTGTTCAAGTTTAGTATTGAGAACTAAGCTATTAGCAGAGCTTCCGTTTCAACTTCCTTGATGATATTTTTATAATACTTGCAAATTTGAGGTAATTTATTTCTTGAAAATACCTCATTTCTGGATAATAGTTAAAAGCGTTACAAGCATGATTTGAAATGGGATAGAGGAAAATACAGAGTTATGATTTTTGGCCGAATGGTTTCTGAGAATGGAACACTTTTTAGAGCTTTTTAGAACACTTTTAGAGGAACCAAAAATGTTCCACTTCGATCGGTTTTACTGTATATCATAATCAGCATAATTGCAAATTTCCTCAGTGTTTGGAGATCCTTCATGTTCCCTTGTATTTGTGAACAGGATGGGTGGTTGTTGGGGAGTTAGCACCTATTACATTGTGAATTTGGTAACTGGTCAACTCAACCCCAAGTCAACTCAACCCAAGTCAACTCAACCCTTAGTCAAGTCGACCCCAAGTCAAGTCGACCCTTAGTCAAGTCGGCCCCAAGTCATCTCAACCCTTAGTCAACTCGACCCCAAGTCATCTCAACCCTTGGTCATCTCAACCCTTAGTCAACTCGACCCCACCATAAACACAAATAGATGTACCTTTCATGGTATGATATTGATGAAATTTGAAAGAATGAGGGACTACAATGCTAATTTTCCATATTAAAATTATCAACTAGTGAAGTTTGTGCTTAACGCATTTATAATTTTTATAAATATGACATTTATTTACCAAAATAATACTTGATTAATCTTAATAGGGCTATTCATGATGCTATACATATATTTCACCCTTTCATATTTGAGCTTTTTTTATCTCTCCGAAATAAAAAATTATAATTGTAAGCAGAATTATCCTATACACTTTTCTGTTATACCAAAATTGTTGCAACAGTATTTTTGACAACAGGTAACTTTTGCAACATGTGCATTGTGCCAACATCCATCCATTACTTTGTATTGAATGATTTTATATTTTGATAATAAAAATAAACAATAAACTATATGATATAGTTCAAATCTTCCCTCTGATCTATAGGCAATAGAAATGTTTATTTTTTGAAGTTAGATTTTAAACCAAGACTGAACAAACAATGGGATTTATAATTTTACAATTTCCATTATTGACCCATGTCAGGTGTCATAAATAACAAGATTTGGATTTTATAACAATAAACAATATGATATAGTTCAAATCTTCCTTCTGATCTACAGGCGATAGAAATGTTTATTTTTTTAAGTAAGATTTTAAACCAAGACTGAACAAACAAAGGGATTTATGTTTTTCTATTTTCCATTATCTTACTCATATGTCAGGTGTCATAAACAATCAGATTGGGTTTTATGATCCAGTTATCTTAAATTATCTATATTTTTTCAATGTAATATTTTTTTGAATTAGGGAAGAAATTGCATTAATCAAATAGGATTCAAATGGAAATGTTTACCTTTACCATAATTTTCTATTATTCCTTTAATAAATCATATACTATCAAAATATTTAACGAAGTACTATTTAATGATATATTATATAATGTATTTTAATCTACTTAAAACAAGTAAAATCATTGGGGTCGACTTGACTAAGGGTTGAGTTGACCAAGGGTTGAGATGACTTGGGGTCGAGTTGACTAAGGGTCGAGATGACTTGGGGTTGACTTGACTAAGAGTTGACTTGACTTGGGGTTGAGTTGACTAAGGGTTGAGTTGACTTGGGTTGAGTTGACTTGGAGTTGACCAGGAAGCGTGAATTTGATTTGACATTATTCCAGATTGGAAGCGAGACAATGATGGTTGCTTCTTCGCAATTAATGATAGATCAATTTGTATATGGGCCTAAAGCTACAGAAATGGTCAAAGAGTCCCTGTTATCAAGTTGTCAGTCTACTAGACTGGTCATGCTCACAACTCTCACACATCTTATGAAGCAAACCACTGAAATAGACTGGCCCTCAATACAGGTGAGTACACTTCTCTTTCAATAATCAATGGTACATCTTGGTGATTAATTATTACTGATTATCGTCTTGTATATAGAAATAACATTTCAATATAGATATTTCTTATGTTTTATATGAATGGTGTCATTACAAGTGATACGAGAGGAAAGATCAAGTGAATATATATGAATGAACAATTTAAAGTACAAAGGGTCACAACAGCAACTCGAACCATGATCTAACATAGTCAACATGGCATCTAATGCCCCCCTCTCCAACCTTTCAGGGATATTTAAATAATCTTGTGTATCATTGTATGGCATAATGGGTAAAACATGTTTGCTATAACTTCAGCTGACAGTATTGAACATGCTACTCTGGGAGATGAACTTGAAGTGTCGAAAAGCCTTGCTTGACTCTGTTACCGCAATTCACCTGAAAATGGGGGCTATGGTGGCAATACCCACACCTTATGTGTATCTAGACAACCTAGAAGAATGGGAGAGGAGTCGTCCTGAGGCCCCCCTAGCTGATATTATTTACCCAGTGTATGCTGTCATTGCTGTTTCTATGATTCAGCATCAGCAGATAACGAGGTTTGTATGTTTTTTTCTGTACTTGTTTTGTTTGTTTTTTGTTTCTTGTTTGTAAATTTGATAAGCAGTTATACTTTCAATTTATGTTTTATCCACCGAATTTCATTCCTATCGTTAAATATTTTATATAAGAACATGTATATATTTTTTATGTATATATTTTTCAGTGATGCCTTAAAAATGATTTCCATGAAATTATACAATGCAAGCAAACCTGACCAATCAGAGTTAAAGCGTTTCAATGCTGCCCTTGCACTTAGAATATGTGGACCCCAAATACTAAAAGCAGCAGAAAAGATGGTTGATTGTGATGAAATAAAAAGCACAGCAAGGTAATACAAAAATGAGCATGTTCATCCCCAGCAGTCTAGATTGAAAACCAAATGTTTTATCACATAAAGCACATAATTTTCAATGAATAAAACACAACATTTTGTTGTAATTTATTAACATTTTTATTAAATGATCAAGGAAAATTAAAGATCAAATAGAAAAATATTACTCATATGAGTTGTAATAATGGTTGATGCGTTATCATATCTTAATATTTATAGATTACTATTAGCTGGAATACACCTGTTGGAAGATGAGATATCTGAAGTTAAACATGAGGCTACATATTTTGCACACTCACTGGCGCTAACAGAAGGATACGAGGTAACATTATTTTCACAGTTGTCAAATACCTTCATTTTTGTGTCACTACCACCACCACCATAAGTGGTGACATATTGTTAGTCTCCAATTTCTGTGGACCGTGGTCAGTATGCGGCATCTGTAACTAATTGCATCTCGTGACATTTTGCATGTTAATGCTTTTTTTTCATTTGTTTGAAATGGCAGAATTACAGAACATTTTCAGTTGATATAAATTAAAAATGTGAGTGATGTTGAAATATGTGGTTTACATTTGCAGTTTGCCTCCCTCCAGCCTTCCCATGGATTAATCATTCTATGTAGGAGAATGCTGACTTCAAACTCTTCTTGGAGAGAGAGTTTAATAGATGACTACATAGATAATCTGCCCATCAAATCTTTAAGACAACATATACAAGCCACAAAACAAAGGTACGTTGTTATGGCATGTTTTGGTATTATAGATGATACATTTGCAAGTTTATCCATATATGTGTACAGGGTGATCAATAAATAAGGTAAAAGTATCTGGCATTTCTTCAGATTTTATCCAATCCTCATAAAATTTACATAGAATAATGTTCAAACATTATTGAATTGATATATTAAGTTACAGATCAAAGTGATGTGATTGGTTGAAGTTATAGTTGCCATAGCAACAGAAAGCATGAAGACCCGGGGCAACTATCAAAAAACTAAATTTTCAGTCGAAACACTTTTGATTATATATTTCAAATCACAATTAAAATGGCATATCATATTCTTATTTCATACTTCATAACTGCTCATTAATGTCCTTTGTTTTAAACATATAGTTCATGTCTCCTACTTCTACTCAGTCTTTGAACACCTTTTAAACCCATTTTACCATAGCCTGCAAATTTTCAACACAGCTGGCTTCAAGTCATCCCATGAGAAACTCTCTCAACTCCCTCTTCAGCTCATGAAGGTAAAATCTTAAGGGGACAAGTCAGGAGAGTATAGTACATGACCTAACAGTGGGAAACCCAGAGCTTCAATGGTTTGTACTGTGAGAATATAGTATTGTGAGACGGAGCATTATCCCAGTGCAATGTGGAACGTTTTGCAGGCCTCTTAGTCTTAGCTTCTTCCTCTTTTCTCTCATCAAATCTCTTCTTTGGGTATTGTTTTTCATCATTAACCCGTGTCATAGATTTTCCATGATCACATCAGTTTTCATTATATATTAATATTTTCCGTGACATCAAACATCAAATTTGCAAGAAAATATGTAACAATGTAAACAAAGTATTAAAACAATTAATGCTGGCACCCACGTTTATTTTTTTCAGTTTGAAAAAGATGTGCTTTTCACCATTTTTTTTTCAAATTGGACACAATGAAATTGCCCCGGGTAACCCCGACTCTAGTTGCCATAGTAACTATAATATTAACCAATCAGATGGCAGAAGTTATATATTTATATGTTTTAATTTAGAAATGTACAAGGTACATTCTGACCAAATTTCAGGATGTTTGGACCAATATTTACAAAATGCCAGATACTTTTACCTTATTTATTGATCACCCTGTACAAGCCACAAAACAAGGGTATGGTGTTATGGCGTGTTTTAATATTAATCATACATTTTGCAATCCTAATCCTTGAGGAAGTTGTGTAATGAGGCAAAAAAAATCAGCGATGTTAACTTTTATGCCAATTGAAAGAGCTATGAAATGTTACACAGATCGCTTCGAATGATTTTGTTTTTCTGGTAAATTCTATAAAAATAGAAATATCCTCAAGAATAAACCCTATTTCCAACACCTTCAAGGACATGGCTATTATTTCTTGATTTTGTATGATACAATAGCTTTTAGACATGTTAAAGAGATTACTGACATTGAATGTATCAAAGTTAAAAGATTTAGTAAAAACTTTTTTTCACAGGAAAATAAGCCTTTATGAAAGCGACAAAGTTAACATGTTTGCTGAACCAGTCAAAACAACCTCACTGCTGCTTGATATCACAAACCAACAGTCTGATGGCCTGGGAAAATATGATATCATGGGCAAACAACAGGATATCATGGGAAAACAGTTTGGTATCATGGGCCAACAAGGTGGTAGCATGGGCAAACAACATACAGAATTTGACTTGAGCTGTGACATGGAATGGGCTAATGCTAGATTAAAGACTCTATGTGACTACCTCAACGAAATACAGGCATCCATAATGGATAAGGATACTGAAGGTATAAATTAGGTCAATAGTTAAGTTGCTTTATATTTGGTTAGATATATTGCACTTAGTCTAGTGGTTTTAGATGGGCAAGAATACCTTATATAATATCACTCAGGTCAGTATCAAGCGAAGGTAACGGCCGTCACCTTCATATCAAAGATGGCGGATGGGAAGTGTCGATTTCGATATTTTTAGTTTTCATCAAATTTAACTACTTTATTGTTGACGTTATGCTTTGATATTTGAACCAAATCAGGCTTATATGACATGTGAACTACAGAGTATGATAATTTTTTCATATATCATGTGTGGGCGCCACAGTTCAAAGTAATCTTCCACCACACCACCACAGGGAAGGTAACTGTAAATGTAAGATACAGTAATGGTCATGTTAGTTTTCAATATGCGGTAACTGGACATCTTAGCTCTCCATTATAAACTCTCGTACCGTTTCACTACATATCAGTTATCTTATCATCTGTAAACCAAAATTCCAGTTACCTTCCCTTGACCGGTGGAAGATATCGTTGAACTGTGGCGCTCACGTGGCGCTCACGTATGATATAGAACAAATTATCATATTCCACTTTCAATGTCACATAAGTCAGATTTAGTTCAAATATCAAAGCATTACTTCACCTATAAAGTAGTATAATTCAATGAAAAATATTGATACTAAAAATGTCGAAATAGACACTTACCGTCCGCCATCTTTGATGCGAAAGTGACAGTCATTACCTTCGCTTGATACTGACCAGTGAATATGGAGAAAACTGACAAAAATCAATTAATTGACTTTTTGATTTTTCAAAATAATCCAATTGGGTCATATTAAACTATATTGGTATACAAATAGATGATCATGCTGACATGCAGATTATGATTTAACATAAAACTGATCCTTAAAAGAGAAAATCAACTTATACAGATTTTTAACATTTTGTCAATAAAGGTTGAGCCATTTCAGAAAACCTAAATTTTTGGGGAAATGTATATGAAGATGAGGACAACTACAGAATTTATCGTACAAGTCTTCTATTTGATACCTGATACCTGATTGAATACCTTTGAAAGCCTGAACATTTGACATTTTAACTTGTGTGCTCTATTTTTCCAGTGTTCACAAATATCAACAACCCTGTGTTGTATATGAGGCACTGATGTGCATTCTGAGCTTGACTGCAATCAGTCTACATACAATAAGACACCATGATCTAAATCTACAAATCTCAGCCAATATTAATATTTTGGGAAATTGAATACCATTATAAGCATGAACTGTTGACATGTAATAGTTTTAACTGGTGTGCTCTATTGTTTCCAGTATTTACAAATATCAACATCCCTTTGGTATATGAGGCATTGATGTGCATTCTGAGCTTGACTGCAATCATTCTACATACAACGAGAGACCATGATCTAAAACTACAAATCTCAGCCACTATTAACAGATTTTCTGAGGTAATTGAATATCTAAGCATTGTGGTAGAATTAAGTCAGAACAACCAAAAAATACAATTAATATTCAGTTCTAAAGATTCGATCTATATTGTATCATTAAAAGCGAACAATATTGACTATTGACTGATTCAATGTGTTGACTGCTACACATTATTATCCCAACGAACGAAGTTCGGTAGGGATATAGTGAAGCCCTCCGTCCGTCCGTCAGTCCGTCAGTCTGTCAGTCCGTCAGTCAGTCCGTCCGTCTGTCCGTCCGTCCGGAAGATAACTCAAATATTAGTTGACGGACTTTCTTCATATTTGGTGGAAAGATGTATATTGATGAATAGTTTTACGCAAAAAAATTTTTTTCAAGATGGCCGCCGCTTTAAAAATGACAGGACTTTTTCGTAAAAATCATAAATTTTTCATTCTAAACCAAAGCAATTAATATTATTGTTTGAAATTTTGGTAGTATATTCGGAACATCTATCTATTTCACATATATTCCGTGTTTTTCATCCTGACCCCCAGGGGCCATGTATGGGGGGTCAGGAAAACAGAAATTTTCGCTAATTTTTAGATCTTTCTGAAGATAGCTTTATTATACTCAAATGAAAGGCAATTAAGAGTAGATTGCAAATATTGTATCTTTTTTCTGATTCGAGCCTCGTAAAATTCAAAATGGCCGTCTAATGTACGATTTCGCAATAATTTTTGATCCCTTCAAAGTATGGCTATATAATACAAAAAATTGAAGGAATTTTGGAGTAGATCACAATTATGGTATTATTTGTCAGATTTGTACCTCAGAAAATTCAAAATGGATTTTTTTAAGATGGCCGCCTCTTTAAAAATGACGGGACTTTTTCGCAAAAATTATAAATTTTTCATTCTAAACCAAAGTAATTAATATTATTGTTTGAAATTTTGGTAGTGTATTCACAACATCTATCTATTTCACATATATTCCATGTTTTTCATCCTGACTCCCAGGGGCCCGTGTATGGGGGGTCAGGAAAACAGAAATTTTCGCTAATTTTTAGATCTTTCTGAAGTATACCTTTATTATACTCAAATGAAAGGCAATTAAGAGTAGATTGCAAATATTGTATCTTTTTTCTGATTCAAGCCTCGTAAAATTCAAAATGGCCGTCTAATGTACGATTTCGCAATAACTTTTCGATCCCTTCAACATATGGCTATATAATACTCAAATTGAAGGAATTTTGAAGTAGATCACAATACACTGTATTATTTTTCAGATTTGTACCTCAGAAAATTCAAAATGGCTGCTTTGCAGGAATTCGCAATTCTAAAATCTAAATTTTTCAATTTTAACCAAAGTAATGAGTATAATTGACTGGAATTCGGTAATTGATATTTTGTTCGTTGGGATTTGCTACTCCGCGGAGTTGCCATTATCTAGTTTGTGATATTCTAAATGTAAGAGAATGATTGATCCATTAATTGCCATTCATCTTCATTAAATTCATTAATTTGGTTTTGTAAAGTACGTAATTTGAAGTTTTTAAAATAAAAATGTCTACTGAGTTGTACATTTTGTTCACTTTTGGTTTCAGTCAACAGTCATTTTTGACTTCACATTTTCAGAACAAAATTGACCTCGGTCAGTAAAAGATCAGTAAAACAACTATAACTAAAACAAATATAACTGGTCCTTGACCTTGTTAATCTACATGACTGATATTTAATATTGCATATATTGACATGCTTTTAGATTTTAATGTTGTATATCCTTTTCAGGTGCAGCAGAAGTATGTACCTGAAGAAATGATAGCATTGTTGGAGGAAGTCAAATGTTTGATATCCAGTCAAACATAAGTTTAATATAGACTTGATGTCTTGTTGGAGGAAGTCAAATGTTTGATATCCAGTCAAACATAAGTTTAATATAGACTTGATGTCTTGTTAGAGGAAATCAAATGTTTGGTATCCAGTTTAACATACGTTTAATGTAGACTTGATGTCTTGTTGGAGGAAGTCAAGTGTTTGGTATCCAGTTTAACATAAGATTAATAGAGACTTGATGTCTTGTTGGAGGAAGTCAAATGTTTGGTATCCAGTCAAACATAACATTAATATACACTTGATGTCTTGTTGGAGGAAGTCAAATGTTTGGTATCCAGTTTAAGATAAGATTAATATAGACTTGATGTATTGTTGGAGGAAGTCAAGTGTTTGATATCCAGTCAAACAGAAGTTTAATATAGATTTGATGCCTTGTTGAAGGAAATCAAACGTTTGGAATCCAGTCAAACATAAGTTTAACATAATGGACTAGATGCCTTGCTGGAGGAAATCAAATGACATAAAACCACACCAGACGTGATGCCCATTTGGAGGAAATCAAATATTTGATATTTAGTCAAAAACTAGTTAAGCATACCAGACTTGATGCCTTATTGGAGGAAATTAAATGTCAATCATATCTAGTCTAGAGATTATTAATGTTGAAAACAATATTTTCCCAAAACATACCTTTGTTCCCCCTAATACAATCCTGAATCCACCATTTCAAATTGTTGGCCAGATAACCTGATAATAATGGATTATACTGAAACAATTTTCCAAAATGTAATTTCGACGCGTTCCTAGTCTTTGTTACATGCTCCTTTTATATGACAATCAACAAAATACATGGATACAGTGTATTAACGTTTTAGTCAATTAATAGACTAGCAATATTTTAAGTAATAAACAATATAGTTACAAAATATATATTGAATTCTCTAAATCATGCATATTGAACCATTCTAAATTTCTAATGTATTATGAATCGTTTGATTTAATTTAATAAGTAGTAAGATTAATTTAGCCTAGTACATGTTTTGCAGTGAATAAAGCT